GAGGCTCTGTTCCCCCAGGCAGTCCTCCAGGCCTTGGGTGCTGGGGCTGAGGTGGTTTGGTCCATGTGGGTGCCAGCCTGACCAAGGGGCGGGGGCACGGGCTGAGTTGCGGGGTGCATGGGGTGTATGCTCAGGGCCATTGGATTGTGCTCTGGGATTGGGGGCTGTTGTGTGTTGAGGGGGCCTAGGCGGGGGGCTTAGGTGTGATTTGTGGGAGCTGCCTTGGGTGCCTGGGTGGGCGTGTGTCCTGGGAAAGTTGTGATTCCCAGGAGGGAGGGGCTGTTGGGGTGTGAGGGGGAGTTCTGGGCTGGGAGGGGCTGAGTTTGGGGAGTTGCAGGCAGCGGGAGCTCACCCCGGAGCCTGTCTGGGCCGTGAGCTTGTTGGGACGCTGCAGGCCACAGGTCGCGCGGCGTGAAAGCTGAGTGGATGAACTGTCCGCCGAGTGTGAGATGTGTCCGGGTAGTTGGCTGTGGGGCTGTCCCAGCGTGCAGTGTGCGGTGTAAGTAGCCCAGTGGGTTAAACTGGGGCTTCACTCTAGGCTTGGGGTGCACAGGTGGAGGCAGCAGGGGAGGGAGACCCAGGGGAGCCAGCATGGGGAGGTGGGGATGTTCTAAGTCCCTGAGGGAGGCTGGGGATTTGGGAACACGCGTGTGTTCCCTGCTGTTCCCTTCGCAGACCAAGCTGGAAGGGCCCCCTGAAGCCAGCCCCTCTCCCACTGGTCAAGCACTTTTTGCTCTAGTCCCAGTGGGTTCATGTGTGGAGCCTGGAATTCCTCCTGGAGGGTCTAGGGCATGCTTGGTCTTGGGCACTCTAGCTATGGGCCAGGCCTGAGAAGTCCCCCACCCCCACACCACTGGCTGGAGGAGGGAGCTGAGGCGGGTCTGCAGGCACAGGCTCCCCTGTGGCTGGGGGACCCCCACCTCTTCAACCTGCAGGATGTGGGGCTCAGGCCTCTCTAACCACTCCCTGGGGCTCCACCCTGACCTCTCCATGTTGCCTGTGTCCACAAAGCCTTCACCTCCTATTCCCCTCTGCTGCTAGGGATGGGAGGACCCCTCCTTGTAGTGAAGAAAACCAAGGTTCAGGGAGAGCAGGGGAGGTAAGAGCCGCCCCCTCCCAGCCACTCAGGCTTGTGGGTGGAGCTGGGTCTGCTCGGTGTGCGCCTAGGGCATGGGACCCTGGTCTCCCATCCGGTGTCTGCCCTCGGCCCTCAAGGGCACAGACACCTGCACAGCTGTGCAGCATGCCCCAGGGCACACGCTGCACGATCAGATGTTCACAGGCACATGCAGACTGCACACATGCACTCATGCACACACGTCTGTGTGTCCAAAGCACATGCCTGCACACATCTATGTGCACTCGCACGTGTACGCGTTCGCACCCGGGTGTCCATGCACATGAGCCCCAAGGCAGGGCCGACAGAGGTTCACTGTCGCGGAAGGGAATGTGCACTGAGAGTCACACTTCCCCCCACAACCCTGCCTCTGCGGATCCCCCAAACTGAGTGGGGACCCTGCAGGCAGGACCATTTCTGGAAGCTGGGACCAAGGCCTGCCTGCTAGGAGGGGAGGGGCTGGGGACTGTGTCACTTAGAAGCCAGCGTCTGGAGGCCCTGGGCCCCTGGCTCTGCTGCCGCCCTTGCCAGGCCCTGAGCTGGGCCCGTTCATTTGGAGCCCACTCTGCCATAGAGACCTGCTGGTTACTATGGAGAGGACCAAGCATCTTGGAGTACAATGGGGCGTGTTGGGCCCTCATAGCCACCTCCCCTTCCTGAACACCCAGGGAGCCCAACGGACAAAGGGGCGGCGAGGACTGGTCCAAGTCTGGCCCCTCCTCCAACCAGAGGGGGTGGGGGCCTTGGGGACAGAGGCAGGGACAACGGAGCGGAGTGGAGTGGAGCGGGAAGCCAAGCACATTCAGATACTCAGTGCTGGCCACAAGTAAAGACTGGTTTAGGGAGGAACGGCATCCGCCAGTCATGGCAGCCTTGCGCTAGTGGGCTAACACAACCCAGCCGATTCTCCCAGCAGCCCGAGGGCGCTTCCCGAGGAGGCAGTCGAGGCCCAGAGGCAGGGCTGCACTGGGAGGCCGGGGTTCCCCAGCATGCAGGCACGGCTCTCTGGTGCCTTTGTAAACCGGGGCAGACTGGCTAACTTGAGGCCAGTGTCAAGAACTTGATGAGATACCACGGTGGTTTGCCAGTGTAGACTTTGGCTCAGAACCCCTATGTCAACGGAAACTTCCGACAGAAGCTGGTTAGCAGTTAACGGTGAAATATCTGAGAGCAGCCGTTCAGGCAGCAGGTCTGCCGTCCCATCACTCCGGGGGACACTGGGTACCATGGGGTCAGGCACAAAGTGGGCCCTCAGCCTGTAACAGGTGTGGTCGTGACTACCCTTATCATAATCACACCTTTAAAAAATGTATTTATTTATGTACTTATGTGGCATGATTTTCAAGCTGCCTGGTCTGGGACTCGATCCACAGGCAGCCATGGGAATCCAGTACTTTAACCACCATACCACCTGCTGGCCCATAATCATGCCTTTAATGCACAGGAGCAGACTTTTGTTGAATTGTCAGAGGGTGTATGACTTCACCAGAGACAGATGGAGGGAGAAAGCACCCTCGGATGGGGCATGGCCACACTGCAATCTTTTCTGCTCCATTTCTCCATCTTGTCCAGATTTGGGGGATGCACACACACATGCCCACTGAGTTTTATTTTTTAAGAATTTATTTAATTGTATTCACTGTCATTATTTTATTTTTTGAAGTTGATCAGAGAGAGACAGAGAGAGGGAAAGTAAGAAAGCAAGCTGCTGGGTCTGGGACTCAAACCACTGTCAGCCATGTGAGAGTCCAGCCGCCCTTACCACCATGCCACCTACCAGCCCCACCCATCGAGTTTTTTAAGCCACAGAGGCCAGCATTCCCACTGCGTGGTTGACCATGTGGGATCTGGCTCCTTCTGGCTCCTTCAAGCACTACGCAGTGGGGCCGGCCTTGGGGCAGATGCTTTTACGTTTTTACAAACCCGTATTCCAGACTTTCCTGCCTGTGAGAGTGAGTCAGGCCTTCCCTGACACCCGAGAGTCCGTGTGTGTGGGGCCGCTGTGTGTTGCGCTGTGCTGTTTGTTTTCGGCCCTTCCCCCGGAGCCCAGAGCCACGAGATGAGCAGGGCTTTACCTTAGGTTCGAAGGTAAGATCTCAGGTCGCTTCTTAGGAATATGTCCTCTCTTGTCTTATCTGGACAGGAAGCTCCCCAAATCTCCCCTGGTAAAGCGCTTCCCATCAGCAGTGGCCTAGACCCATCACAACTGCTTGTGCAGTAGGAGTTACAATGCTGGGGTGAGGCCCCCTGGCTGCTGGGGTCTGGGTGACAGGGACAGTGACTTGCTTGGGCCAGGCCATACTGTTGTGAATCCTTTAATGCCTTTTCATGGTGCCTGGGCCGGAATGGCTGGAGCATTGGGGCATTCTCCTACGACAACGAAAGGTTCCCAGGCGTGGGGTGATCTGGATGGCTCAGAAACCTAGATAGGATCTAAGTCTTCATTGCTTTTCCCACTTTTTATTGTTTATTTATTATTTATTTATTTTATAGACAGGGAGCCACTAGGCTGCACAGGCTGGCTTCTTTCTTGCAATCCTCCCGCCTCAGTCCCCTCTAGGCAGTAACCACCTTGTCCTGCTGAGTCTTCCTTCTTGAGGGCTGGTACTGGGCAAACGACTTAGAAAAACAGTTTTAACAGCCCCACCTTTTCTGTTTGGAATCAAATCACAGGTGGCGGCTGAGCCTGAGCCGTCGTCAGCACCCGGTAACCGGCGGTCCCCCCTGCCCTCCCCAGGCCAGGGCGGGAGGGTAAAGGCGAGGGGGTGTCCTGTAATCCCTCCCCTACCAGGTCGGCCCAGGCAGCCTGCGAGGTCAGGAGGGATTTGTAAAGATAAGCACAGGCCCCTCGTTGCCTGGCAACAGGCCCCGCCCCTCCGCCTGGTCCTGGGACAGTCCCTCCTCTGCCCAGTGCCCTCCGTCGGGTCCCCCCCTCCCCACCTCCCCCAGCCTTTCCTCCCCTCTGCCCTGGGCCACCTGGTGTCCTCCGCCCTCTCCTGACACACAGAACGAAGGCAGCAGCTCCACACCTCGGTGTGCAAAGGAGCCCCCGGGGACCGGTGGCCATGCGGATCCTAGGACCCGTGGTTTGGAACCTCAAGGTCCCGAGTGGGCCTGGGGAATCCATATACTTAATACAGGTTCTGGAGACTCTGGCGTGGAGGCTCTGGAGCAGGGAGAAGTGGGTTTGGACCCCAGACTCTCCAGGGCTGTTCACAGGGAAGTGGCTGAATCTCGGAGCCTCACTTTTCCAGAGTTGTAAGGCAGGAATGATGGTGGGGTGCTAGCCACCTTGTAAGTAAATGTGGAGGTGAACTGGGGTCACCAAGCAGACGGGCGTCCCTCACTGCCACTGCTGGCTCTTGCAGGACCCCCAGGAAGATGCGACATCTTCCTCTTACGAGGTGGGTGTCTGTCTCCTGGGCTCCTTCACTCAGAGGAATAACCCTCTGCTCTCAGGGTCCCCAGAGATGCCCTGAGGGTGGGAGGTGACAGCACCTCTGCCCCTCCCCCAGCAGGGTCCCGTCCCTCCTCCTTCCCCAGGGTCCCATCCCAGGTGCCATCTCCCTCAGCCTGGTCCCTTTGCTCTGACAGGGCCAAGCTCCAGAGTGGAGTGGGGTCCCCTGCACCACACAGGTGGGGATAGTACCCCATTGGGATTCAGGGTCTGCAGGGATGCAGGGTCTGGCAGTTAGAGGTGCCATCTAGAGCCCCTTGCTCAGGGCCTATGGGTGCCAGGGCTTGGATGGGCACTCTTTGCATCCCAGGTACCCCAACACGCAACCTGGGCCTTTCCTGAGGGAGTGTGAGGGGTGGGGTGGCGGGGTGGGGTGGCGGTGGACAGCCCTGCCTGCTGGAATGTGGATGAGCCTGGGAGGCCTCCAGCCTTATCTGAGGGTCTTCACCAGAGTGTGGGGGGAAGGGCTGTTCTGGGGTCTGGTTAGCGTCTGGATGACAACCCGAGTGGGGGAGGGGTGCCTCGGGCGCTGCAGGTGGGGATGGGGGGTCCGCTCCAGGCTCGCCTGTCCCATCATTTACTGCTGTTGTTCTGTGAGGTTATGCTAACACCCACCCCCTTGCAGACAGAAATGGAGGCTCAGTAGGAATGGCTTGTGCAAGGTCTCACAGCTGGTCTGAGCTGGGATTTGCACCCAGGCCTGTTTGACCTCAAGGCTGAGTTCTTACCTGGGCATGCAGTGAGGCTCTGGGGTGGGGGAAGAGGGAGGCTGGCTTTCTGGACTTGGCTTCCAAGCCTGTGGTCACCTTGTACCCTCTAACAGAGGTGGAGGTGTCATGGCGGCCCAGTACGGTGTTCAGGGAGCAGGTCTCAATATCTGCTCTGCACCGAGACCTCTGCCAGGCTGGCCGCTCAGGCATTTGCTGAGGGGGTGCAGTGTGAGCCAGGGATCCTCTAGAAGTTCCAGGGGCAGTTAGGACTTGGAGAAGGGCTGGTGGGAGGGGTGAGCACTCATCCCTGCCTTTGAAGTCCTTGTCCAGCCCTGGTCAGGCCCATCTCCGGTTTCAGAGAGATGGAGTTACCAGACCCCCAGCAGGAGGGGTGGAGGGGCGCTGGGAGGAGCTGAGTCCCTCACCCTCCTGGTCCTCCTGGGAGGAAGTGGGGCCTGCAAAAGGGGAGACCCAGAGGAGACCCAGACCGCGCACTGACGTGTGTGGGTGACTCAGAACCTTCGCTCTTTCTGGAACCTCCATTGGCTCTCTTGTAAAATGGGCACACCAGATTCTGTCTCGCAAGGGCGCAGCAGGGGTGGGATGACACAGTGGAGGGACAGTGAGTATCTGTCCCCCGCCAATCCTGCCCAGGAGCCAGGCATCCCTGGTCTTGCTTTCCGCTGCGTGGACACTTCTAAAATGGTTCCCAGTCTCGAGTGTAGACTCCCTGGCCCTCTGTCTGTCCTCCGGAGTATGGACAGGCCCAGGCTGCTCTCCAGCTCGGGTCTGGGGTGGGGCCTGAGCGAGTTGCGGGGGGCGTCCTTGTAGCTCCTGTCCGCCCTCCCCAGTCGTTTTCTCTCTCCGCAGGGACGGTGCCTTCAATGACCCCGAGTGCCTGCGCCTCAGACCCATGTGCTCCGGGGACCGAGTGCCAGGCTACGGAGACTGGTGGCTACACATGTGGGCCCACGGTGTCCCCGGGCTGTGCCTCCCAGCCATGCCACCACGGTGCCCTGTGTGTGCCCCAGGGCCCAGATCCTGGCGGCTTCCGCTGCTACTGTGTGCCCGGCTTCCAGGGTCCCCACTGCGAGCTGGACATCGACGAGTGTGCATCCCGGCCCTGCCATCACGGGGCCACCTGCCGCAACTTGGCCGATCGCTACGAGTGCCACTGCCCCCTCGGCTATGCAGGTAATGGCCCGGGCTGCCTGGGAGGAGGTCTGCAATGCAGATCCATTGGTGACTCAGAGTGGAGACATCACAGCTGTGGGCTGGACTTCGGTAGAGAGACGCCCCCAGCACCCTGGGCGTGCCTGCTCCTGATCTCACTACAGAGTTGACGCTTCTCGGGCTAACCTGGGAGCTCTGGGGGAGCGCGTCTGTGAGGGCTGGCACGGTGCCCGGCACCTGGCAGGTACAGGACAGCTTTTCAGTCCCGTCAAGAGTTCAGTTTGGCCCTGGGGGAGCTGAGTCCCTCAGACACTCCTCAAGCACCGCTGGCCGTGCAGTGTAGACAGAGTGCAGCTGCACCTGGCCTGGCTTCAGTGAGGGCGCTGCGGGCAGTGTCCGCAGCACCCACTCCCGACCCGTGGAAGCTGTCCCGCAGACACTGTCCAGTCGGTGATTCTAGAGCGCGAACACCCCTGGTTTGGTTCAATGCAATACCCTCTCCCCAGACTTCGGGCAAAGACATTCACGGTCTAGTTCAGATTGTAAGGCAGACGTGCCTGCAGGAATCCCTACTGTCTTGGGCAGGGGAAATGTCTACACGGGTGCCTGGAAAAGTGGGTGGGGCACAGTATCTGCATCGGCCCTCTCTCCGGAGCAGGCCTGTCCCCGTCCCGACCCGACCCTGCTTCCAGGCGAGATCACCCCGGAATGGTCTGAAGTCTGGAAGGAGTGTGTGGCTGGGGATAGGTGTGGGAGTGAGGCTAAGTCCAGGACAGTTTGGAGTCTGCTGTGTAGACGCTCGGGTTCTACTTCACACAGACAACTCTGCTGTGAGGAAGAGAGCTGTGTGAAGTTATCTCAGAGTGTGGGGTAGAGAGAGGGCTGGTTCTGGGGGAGGGTACACAGTAAGGAGGGCACGGTGACCAAGTGGAGTTTGGAAACTGGTTCCGGGCGCCCTTCTTGCGACTCGAGTGTCTGCATGCCCGATGTGTAGCTGCGGATGTGCGAGTGGGTCACGGCTGTCCGTGTGTCTCCCAGTTCATGATCTGCTTTGCGGTAAGGGGCCTCCGTGCTCTCTGGAGCCAGCAGGTGTGCGCGGCCGGCCGTGGCGCTGGGAGCTTTGGGCAGCTTGGAGTGTGGATGCGGGTGGGGGCAGTGTCTGCCATGACTCACTTCTCTCCTCCTTCGTTCTGAGCTGGCGGGGGAGGTTGGGATTCCAGGCGGCCTGGGCCTGGCTCCCCCTGGCACAGAGGTGGGAGTGGGGCTGGGGTAGGAGGAGGTGGCGTTATGGGAGGGAGGGGTCATGCTTTGTGCTCACTGAGCTGAGAAGGGTCTGAGCTGGGGTCAACTGGGCCGCCAGTCCCCAAGACCAAACCTACTCAGGGGGTAGGGGCAGAGCCCCCAGGAGTCCACAATGGCCCATGCATTCCCTGATGAACTGAAGTCCGCTGGTGTAGCCTCTTTCCCCAACCCCACCCTGGGGGGCCACCCAGCCATCAGAACTTGCAGGGAAGGAGTTCCTGACTCCAGGCTTTCAGGTTTTCTGGGAGCCAGGAGGAGCGGAGTACGCAGTAGCTCTGCACTCCTCCCCGCACCTGTCCCTGTGGTCCCTCCCTCCACCCTTCTCAAAGACACCAAGCGAGCCTCCTAAAATGCAGATAGGAGCCAGAAGGCGGCATGGTGGTTAAGGCGCTGGACTCCCACATGGCGGATCACCATGCAAGTCCCAGACCTGGCAGGTTGCTTTCTCACTTTCTCTCATCTTTATCTGGTGAGCTCACGTGCCCTAGAGCAAGTAAAATAATAGACACAAATATATAAATAAATTACAGATAGGCCTGCACCACTCACCAGCTTAGAACTTTCAAGGTGAGTGGAATCTGTTACCTAGCCCCAAGGCCCTGACACCTCCCTACCCCGCCCCACTTACCTGCCTCCCACCCACGTAGGGCCCCTTCCCTAAGCAGGACTTGAGCGACCCTGCGCAGTCCCCTAGACTTCAGGAGGATCCTCCCTTTAAAAGGTTTTTTAAAAATGTGCTATAGGGAGTATGCACGCACCAGGGCTGGGGGAGGGGCACTAGGAGAAAGCTCTTGGGGGGGTGGGGGGTGGGGAGAGGAACGGCCATGCCTCCATTCCCCTCTCAGACTTCAGGGCATGCGCACCCTGCCTGTCAAGCCACCCCGGCGGCCCTAACTTCTCACCATTAGACAGCACTCTGGGTTTCTGTCGCCATCCACCGAATCCCATCCGCTGTCCTAGACTGCTGTGAGCTGGCTGGAGGTCTGTCTTGTGGCCACTGACTGTCATTGCTGGCAAAGAAACACCTCCAAATGTTCAAGTCAGTGGACAACGAGATCTCTCTTCAGCCCCAGTTCTCCCCGTCACTCTGGGTGGGAGTCACTCCAGCGTCCATCCCCGGTCTCTGTCTCCTGCCCCTGTCCAGGCGTGGCCTGCGAGGCCGAGGTGGACGAGTGCGCCTCTGCTCCCTGCCTGCACGGGGGCTCGTGCCTGGACGGCGTGGGCTCCTACCGCTGCGTGTGCGCGCCGGGCTACGGGGGCGCCCACTGCCAGCTGGACCTCGACGAGTGCCAGAGCCAGCCATGCGCGCACGGGGGCGTGTGCCGCGACCTAGTTAACGGGTGAGCGAGCGGCTGGGGGCTGGAGCTGAGGGGCTGGGCCAGGGACTCTAGGTGGGGGAGGCTGGGCGGTGGATTGGGAGGCGGG